CCTGTCCACTATGCCTGTGCCTGGCTACTCCTCTGTATAAGAAAGCTTCTCAACCATCCAACCTTTCTTGCTATAGGTACATAGTTGGTTCTTCTGAGCAGAACTGCTGTTTTCTTGTTACGTGGTTTGGGGGTTTTCTCTGTAATTGATCGGAAAAAAGAGAGTTGTAGATTTGAAATATGAGAACTGAACAGTGCCATTTAGTATGGCTGCAATTTTTGTTGGAACGAGGGGGAAATTATCTCCTTTAAGAGCTTGGAACCCTTTTATTATGTTATAAAATTGGTATGGTGCAAAAACTCCTAACTTTTAAATATCAGTAGGAAATTATTGGAGACAGACCAAACTTGATAGGAAGTGGGAATGGGAGAGAAACAATTCAGACATTCCAATGGAATTCCTCAGGATTTCATTCTGTACCTGGTCTGGTTCTTCTTTATGCGGGAATTACAATAGATTTTTTTTCCCTGAATTGATTTTGTTATTTTTTTCTGACCCAATATGTCATTGGATACCGGTGCTAGAGGATTAAAAGAAAATATGAATGTCTCCGAGTCATCTAACCCAACTGTTTGGGGAGGAGCGCGTTTGGAATTTCACTCTATTTTAATTTTGCGTGGATTACAAGAATGCTGGCAATGAAGCTCGTTCTCTCATCATTTGAAGGCAGTGTAGTGTTTCTTATTTGGTTTTGGTAGTAATGAATATTAAGAAGATTTGGTACAAATATGAGTGAATACAGAGTATCAGAATCACTTAATACCCAAGAGCTTCTCAACTAGGGAAAATGAGGATTCATTGTTTGAAGTGTTTATTTTTTGAAATAACAGTAAATATCACATGCTATCTAAATCTGATTTACATTGATTCTATTTATAATCTGCAGGTTGTTGCACTGTCATCATTCACAAAGGCAGTGAATTTAAATTCAAATCAGTTACAACTCCTGGATAATTATCTGGCTGCTTTGAATTGCTGTAACTCCACATACTTTGATAGATCTACTTTAAGGTGGAGCTGTTGAAATTTTGTCCCAGTATGTCCAATCTCCAGCTCATCAGCTTTAAATAGGATCTTGTTATAGTGTTTTAGATCGTTTAATAACTTGTTCAGCCTTGTACACCTAATTAACTTCTTACCTTTGTTGTATCAAAAAAGCTACTTGACTTAACTGCTTTTAAAGTATTTAGTGTCATACTTAATTCAAAATACAAACAATCCAAAATAACAGGCATCTCTTGATACTGCCTGCTCCATCTTTTAAATACCCCTTCAGCTCTGCTTAGCCTGAATCTTTGAGAGTTGCTAGTAAAGGCATCTAAACAAGGCAGATCAAGAAAACTTGAATGACCTGTGGGGCACAACTTCAAAAGAATCAGCAGCAGTGTAACTGCTTTGTGGTGTAAATGCATTTTTAACCTAATAAACAAGCATGATATAAATTTTCATTGTGGTAATAGCTAGTCAATTTATTTGTTGGAATTGTGATCTTGAAATCTTTTACATTGCGAGGTTGTCCAGTATGTGCAATATGCAGGAAAGAGCAAGCTTGAATTAATTCCTAAATGAAAGTAGTATACATTGTACTGCGAGGATTTTTCTTTGTTTTGTTTCTCTAATCAAAATTTTAGTTAATTTCAGCTTTGTTCTCGATTCCTCCCTCCCCATTAGTTCCATTGTCTTGATTTGCGTCATTTGTGGCAGCTGGCTTCTTGTCAATCTGTATTTTGAACCTTTACATCAAACAGTAAATTAATTAGAGGAAAAGAAATCCCAGTAGTACTCCTATGCTTAGAGGCTTTCACAGGAATGGAAGTGGAATGTGGGGAAGGACACAGAACACACTTCACAGGTACCACCATTACTTATCTCCAGAAGCAAGTGCTGGTTACTTCCCTCCCCTAGTGCCTCCTGTAATTTGTTATAAACTTAAACTAGGAAAAAATAACAAACAAACAAAAAAAAGAGAGGTATCAGACGTTTTTTTTTTTTTAAAGGATGCATAGCCTTAATGCCTCTCAAGTGCGGAAACATCTTGGGAGTTGATTGGTAGGCCTGCTACATCCTACATGTTAGTTCCTTTTCCCTATACCACAGTTAAAAACGTTACCAAAATAGCCTACTTGATTTCATTCAGTTATAATTTATGGACTTCTAGTTTTCTTTCCATAAAGAGAAATCAAAAGGCCCTCTTAAAATCAAGCAACTTGTACAAAAGTCTCGTGAGTCGATTGTGCAGAAGGTGCCCATAGAAACAGATTGTCAAAGGTGTGCGGTGTTTAGACCCTCAACATGCTTTCCTGATAGCAGCAAGTATTTTAATCCTCTGTGAAGTTGCTGCACTGTGCTAAATTCCCTTTTTTTCTTCATAGCCATTAGTGATAGTTATTACACTAAGGTTGCTTTTTGTGTTTCTCTGCACTTGTATTGTTTTTGAGTTGTGGTGTGGTTTTTTGTTTTGGTTTGGGGTTTTTTTTGTTTGTTGTTTGTTTGCTTGTTTTTTTCAAACAAGGCAACAAAGCACAGCACTGGAACACCACTAGTTACCGTGGTGGGGAAATAGGCAGAGCCAGTGGAGGAAGTATGCTCTACTTACAGTGAAATAATCTATGGAAATTATGAGCTAGTTTAGTCTAATTTATTTGCTGTCTTCTATTGTTTATTTCCCCCATTTTTGTGGTGTTTTTTTTTTTTTTCCTTGAACAAATAGGTATGATTTTCTTGGCTGTTGTTTCAAGATATGTATCATTTCTGACTTTCTGATTTTTTTTCTGTTTTACCTGAGCTGTCTCATGTAGTCTATCTTTTCAGCAGTGTGCAGATCACGAAAGAAGGTAATACCTTGCCCAGCTCTTCAGAGAATATTGAATTTGCTTAGATACAGTGTCTATTTTGTAGCAATATCTTTCCTCAGTTTCCAAACCGTATTGTTAGCACAGTTTAGGAGCTCAGTCCAGCATTGTTCCAAGGTCATTTTGAAAGTCCTGCTGTGGTTCTGATTCTTTTATATTTGTCTCCAGTTTTCAGCTGAATATGAAATTTAGTGGTTTAGCTTTTGAATGGGAAATTTAATTTACAACTTGTCAGCCCGTTTACAAAGCGGATACCACTCTGAAGGATTCTCCTAAATATATATGAGGCTTTCTTCTTTTGTTCTCTGTTCATTTCTTTGTTCCCATGAAACATGTAATCACACAAAAATCACTTCAGAAACGCCTTCTCCTGGCATCCCTACCCTTTGTCGGTCCACAAACCTCCAGTTCATTGATAAAACTTGAGTCACAGCTTGTGGAAATGTTTTTTTCCATACATATTTCCTGGTACACTGTTATTGTCCCTGTTTTGTGGTGAGGAGGGGTTGTGTAATCTCCAAAAGGATGTTCATGAACCAACTGTTGTAGGTTTTGAAGTGTGTTTAACTTTCAAGATACTTCGCATATTTTGATCCTGTGTAAAATGAGTTGTCCAAAATTACTGAGAGTCTGCTAGGCAGTGGGTTACAGCATGAGTTAGAATCATCAAATCCATCTGAATTTATCTCAAATTTAATAATGACAATATATAAATCAAGAAAACTTTGGACGGATACATGAAAATCACTCAAATAGTGAGTCCCAAGTGCGGTCTTACTGGGAATCCTTAGCTGAGATCTGCTTTGGAGGTTCTATGTAAGATCTTGATTAAATGACAACCTTTTACCTTCTTTTTTTAAAGGAGTGTGATTCAAGTCTGAACAAACATCCTTTATCCCAACCTGAAATGGGTCTCTGGTGCTCCTGACAGTGTGTTATGTTTGGAAAAGGAGCTGCCCTTGTAAGGTTGCTGAATTGACACATACAGCTGGATCTCCAAATTGTAACACCCCTTAAGGCACTGGTTTTTGGAATCAAATACTAAATGCATCATCATAAAGCATTATGCTTTACTGTCTGCCATCTAGGCTGCTGCTTCAACTGGAATGTCTTTTTGAATTTTTCTAGGAAGCCAGGAACTGAGATTCAACTCATCTTTTTCAATAGTTACTTTTTATATCACCAGCAAATATAATGAAAGTATTTATAGCCAAGATAAAAAGTCCAGAAAAGGTGGTTAAAGTGCATAGAAGTGGTCTTTTGGTTGTTTGGAGTTTAACTGATAAAGCACAGTGGGTCATCTGGTCCAACCTCCCTGCTCAAGCAGGGTCATCCCAGAGCACATGGCACAGGTTTGCATCCAGATGGTTTCTGAATATCTCCAGAAAAGGAGGCTCCACACCCTCTCTGGGCAATCTGTTCCACTGAGTGGTCGCCTGCACAGTCAAGAAGTTCTTCCTCTTCTTCAGGTGAAACTTCTTGTGCATCAGTCTCTGCCCATTATCTCTCATTCTGTTGCTTGTTGCCACCATGCAGAGCTTGATCTATCCTCTGGCCATTCTCCCTTCAGATTCTGATGGACATTGGTGAGGTCTCTTCTCAATCATCTCTTCTTGAGGCTGAGCAGGCCCAGCTCCCTCAGCCTTTCCTCGTGAGAGAGATGCTCTAGTCCATTAATCATCTTTGTTACCCTCCACTGGACCTGCTCCAGGACCTCCATATCTTTCTTGTACTCAGGAGCCCAGAACTGGACTCTAAACCAACAGATTTTTACTATTAAAATGATGGCTTTAGGTTTAGGTTTCTTAGTGACTGTAACATTTATATCCCAGCTGACTGAATTTGTCTTCTCTTTGTTGAGGGATGAGAACGGGAAACTTTTAAATGTGGCATGACAACATGGAATTCATAATTTATTCATTATTTTTTACTTCCCCTGGAGTCCATGGATATTTTCCTCTGACCAAAACAAACCTGCTAACAAGTGTGGAAGTTTTGAGAGACATATGAATAATAAAATTACTGGTTTATATTAAAAAAATATGATTTGGAATTTCTAACTTCTTATACATTGATATATTTTACTTCTCCAGGTTTAGTCTATTTTTAGTGCCTAATTTCACAGATTCTTAATATTTTTAAATACAGGTAACGAATTTGGACATCCAGAATGGCTTGACTTCCCCAGAATAGGGAATAATGAGAGCTACCACTATGCCAGGAGACAGTTTAATCTTACTGAGGATGATCTTCTTCGCTATAAATTCCTAAATGCCTTTGATAGAGATATGAATAGACTGGAGGAAAGATTTGGCTGGCTTGCATCTCCCCAGGTAAGCTGCATATACTAAATGAGAAGTTCTAGTCACCATTTGGGTACATGTTCAGAATAACAGCAGTACCAGATTTGCATGCTGAAATTTTAACCAGCACTTTATTATGCATTGCTTAATGCCTCACCATATATTTCAAGTTGTCAAAACATGGCACTAAAATATCTTCCACAGATAATAGAAATCTGAAACAGTCTCCTCTTAGCTTCCTAGCAAGGTCTTTTCCTATTATTTTTCCTATTTTTATTTAGTAACTGTGGATTGGATAAAGCAGACAATAAAATTGTCCATGGTCCAATGCAAGTGTTGCTTTGGGAAAGTGTAAATTGTTCTGACAGTACACTTTATAAAAATAATTACTCTGATTCTAAGAAGAAACTTTCCATAAGTAATGGTCTTCCAGTCTTCAAGCTGCCTCTTTTGTATTTGCATTTTTTATTCAAGTATCCACTGTAACTTTTATGAAAAAAACTCAACTATTATAATTTCTCAGTGTTTATTTCATACTAGGTGCAATCCACTTTAAATATTTTTTTAATTGATATCTAGTTATTTAATAATGGCTTTAGCAAATAGAACAAAGGTGGTATGTGCAGCAGTTTAATGTGACTTAGCAAAGCTATTTCTCACAAAGATTTCTAAAAAAAAAACAAAACCAAAAACAACAAAATCCCTTTTTCTAAGTTAGTAACAGTATATGGGACGCAGATCCCCATAACGAGTAGGTTGAAGATTTCATTTGATAAAAGGAATCCGCTTTTTACTGAAGGAAAGTGTGATAAAAAGACCATGTCATGAACCTTTGAGCAAGAATTTGTCAAGTGTTCTATGCCAACCAGGTATTTACCTCTTTAATTTTATAGCTGTCAGCTATGCTTTAATAATCAAAAACTTTATACAATATTGCATAGGTAAACAATTTTGATTTGCATGTTACTGTCCATACCTTTGTTGCTTGAAGTGTGTTACTTGAAATGAGATACAGAAGCAGTGAGGGGTTCTTGTTTTTGTTAATTCAGTTAGAAATTAAATATTTTAAAGTTTATTGGTTTGATTTGTTGTTTTGGTGTTGTTTTGTTTTTCTTTCCTAGGCTTACGTGAGTGAAAAGCATGAAGCCAATAAGGTCATAGCATTTGAGAGAGCAGGTCTTGTTTTTATTTTTAACTTCCATCCATATCAAAGTTACGTGGACTACAGAGTGGGTATTGAAACTCCAGGAAAATATCCTTTTCTTTACCCTTTTGCTTGTGCAGAAAAGTTTTAAGAGTTGAAAGTTCATTTTATTTGTTTTCTAATATGAATGCAAACTGTAGTTAAAAGGTAAGAAATTACTTGTCATCAGTATAATCTTGCTTTAATTGTGTACAGCAAGAAAATAATTTAGAAATTCAGGAATTTATCTTTCTCATAAGAGATAATTTTGAAGATAGCATGAGTGAAAAATTACAGTTTAAAGACTTGTGATTCCTTGTTTCTTGGAACTGTGTCGAGGCGTGAAAAAGCAAGTAAACTTCGATAAAGTACAGAAAGGGACCACAGTAAGGTGATGCTGTGCTTGCAGTCACACAGGAGAATGCATTAGTGTAAACCTTCATCAGGAAAGTTGCACAATTTCTGTTTTAAAACTGACTGGACTGAGAATATGCTCTTAGATCAGCTGAGCAGTAAATGATTACTTTTGATTAATTGGCTGTTTTTGCATTTGTGTCCAAATTCTTAGCATTGAGGGAGATGGAAAAACTAGTACTGATTTGGTGGAGGAATCTTATTTCACAGAATTACAGAATATGCTGAGCTGGAAGGGACCTACAAGGATCATCGAGTCCAACTCCTGTCATGTACTACTAAAGCAGGATAAAAATGTCGTGGGGAAAAGTGGTTACTTTGTCTTACACGTTGCCATTTTTGCATAGCATAACATATCAAAGCATTTTACTCGTAGAGAGAATTAAAGGCACCCAAGTGCCCTGAATTTAGGGTGCTTAAGAACATTCAGGCAGTGATCTGTCCTCTCTAGTGACCAGTGACAGGACCTGAGGGAATGCTATGAAGCTGTGTAAGGGGAGGCTTGGTTAGGGATTAGGAAAAGGTTGGACACTGGAACAGGCTCCCCAGGGAAGTGATCACAGCCCCAAGCCTGGCAAAGCTCAAGCAGTTGGACAATACTTTCAGGGATGTCCTGTGCAAGGCCAGAAGTTGGACTTTGATCCTGGTGGGTCTCTCCCAGCTCAGCATGTTCCAGGATTCCCTAATCTGAAGTCAGAGTTGTCCATAGCGAGGCGATTGCTGCATAAATAGACTTTAGAAAAAAAAAAAAAACACCACATTAATTCAGGCTCTCTGACATTTACAACGTGCACCTAGAGCTTCTAATGAGCACCTAAGGTCACTTAAATGAGTCACTGGCACGCAATTGCTGAAGGCAAAGACGCTGCTTTGAAGTGCAGTTGTGTAACTGTCCCTGCCTGTTAGAATTCAGGGGGTAACTGGCACGTTGAGACAAAAAAAAACTTAATTTAGGATCAGTCAAATGCTAAATTCTATCAAGGTAGTTGATACCTAAGGTTAATAGGTGTGAATAAGAAATACAGCATACTAATGTGGGAGTGAATCTTTGATCTGCATGGGGAAAGACACACAGGTTTCCAGCACCATGAGTCAGTGTAACTATCAGAGTGGCATATTCTATTGCCCAGTTTCTGTATCATTATGTGAAGGAAAAAGGAAAACATTTCTGGGCTCATGCTGAAATTTCACTTCATAAATTATGCTCTTTCAGAAGCCTTTTCATGAGGAACAGGCAGTCTTGAGCTAACAAATTATTTCTGCCCAATTTGCTTCAGTTTTGAGGTAGATGAATAATCAACATCCAGGTCAGCTGTCTCTAGTTCTCTGATCGTAGGTAAAACTTTGATTGTTAAAAGAAAAACCATTCATAAGTTTCCAGTTTTATGTTTTTAATACTGACTGGGCCTTTCTGTGGGGCAGTGGTTGGATTCCAAGGCCAGTCTGCAGTAAAAATTCCATACAGATACTTGCTCTCCTCTGTTCAAAAGCAACATGGCTGAAAGGATGGAGAAAGAACAGGAAAGGGGCTTAAAGTCTTCAGAAATTACTTCTTTTCCTTCCTTAAGATCTCACACTGTTTTTTGTTAAACAATTTTTGCACTCTGTTGGAAGCCTCATTAAAATTAAGCTTTATGTATATACCCCCCCAAACACACCTTTCTAAGCAAGGTTTGTTATCTTGGCACAAAAGTAAATCTGCATTTCGTGTTTGATTACCAACCAGTGTGGATTTACATAGCTCTAAATTCACATTTGGTTTAAGCAAAAGGCATCCATCTTTGGTTGAAGCAAAAAGATACAGTACCCCCATCATCCTCAGTACGTGTTCATGAGTTGAGTGCTGAATACCTTCAACTGTCTTCCAAATGGTCTGAGCTGAATTTCATCAGGACAAGGTGTTTAACTTCACTACAAAATTCAGCTAAATACTCTCATATGCTTTTTGTCTATTAGCCTTCTCAAAAATCAGCAGTGTGTGGAGAGGAGAAACAGAGGTCCCCTTCCTCTTGAAATTAATTATGCTGAGGGTTTTTTCCAGTGAAATTCAAGAATTATTAAAAACAAAACGGGCTAAGCACTTTGGACTCTTTACAGTCCTACTTTGAAGTGCATTTTCCTTCATTTTCCCTCTGTTTATGGGGCATTTAATGACCAAGTTCTTATTTTCTTTAGTGTGTCCTAACCATATTTACACATTAACCGTATTAACATACATTTTGTCCTTTAGCTTTTGTATTAAATGTTTCAGCACAGTTTTTTTTATCTTTTTTTGGTCTGTTCTTTTATCTTCATCCCATCCCTGTTGCCAGAACCAGATCCTTTGCTTTTAGCCAAGAAATGGTAGCAAGAGATAAATCTGAAATCTTAATTAGGTAATCTTTTGTATATTGAAATGCAGTGAGAAAATGAGAGCTGATTTACATATGAATTTAAAAGAAAATAAATATTTACATACACAACCATGCTCTAGCTCTGTCTGGAAAGCACCAGTAAGACAGAAGTATGGATGCTTAAATATGTCGTTGTACAATATATAGCAGTTTCTAATCTTGATTTTAAAACAGATTGTGAAAGGATGGACAGGAAACAATCACAATCACCTGTAAACTTTTTGAATATCTTCCTGCTCAGCTATGTCCAGGCTTTCTAAGGTGAGGGATACTCTCTGTAATAGGGCAGTTACATATAATACAGAGGACATAATCTATTTAATATTATTTGAGTGTATTTCATTTGTGTTAGATGTTTGGGTGAGTCAAACCAGACTGCAGAGAAAGGAGGAGTTTCTTTATAAGTGATCAATAAACCTTACATCATTTTACAGTGGCCAGTAGAAAATCTTATTTCTCCTTTTCAGCAAAGCTTTAAATGAAGCTGGACCATCACCCCCACAAGGAGCACTTGGATTGTTTTATTGATAGTAAGCATTGAGGAACAAAATCCAAATTATCCTGTTTTGTAATTTGCATTGACCTTTCACAAATGTTATTAAACATGCATAATATTACATTAAAATTACATTAAAATTTGTATTTCAAAATATTGTGAAAGCATAGTAATTCAGTAATTAATGTGATGGGTAATGTGTCAGCTTCTCTAATTGCAGCTCTATCCATACAAGTGTTCATTGCCTCTGCTGCTCTCCTCCCCTGTAGTGGGTAGGAAATCTAGTTGGAGCACCAAACTGAACACACATCAGGCTTTTTTTTTTTCCCACAATGAGAATACAGATTAGTATTTCCACTAGTCTGTCACTAAAACAAGAGAGCTCTCTGCAAAAGGAAATACTTTTGTTATGTACTTAATTAAAATGCACGACTATTGTTTAATGTTTTAGTGAAAGTGATCTTCAGAAAACCAGATGCTTGTAAAATTCTGAAATGTGAAAAGTGACTTTTTTGTGAGGTTTTAAGTTGGAAGGCAAACAGGCATGTTTACCAAACTAGTTATTTTTTTCCAGTGAAATACCTAATTTGTGAAAGTCTTAAAAATTCTTTTTTTGACCCCATTGTTCAGGATCTGGTTAACAGTATTTACATGAAATGTGCTATATATGTGTGAAGACACAGTGATGTTAACTTTAGCATTGCTCTCTAGCAATGCAGGCACAATTTTATAAACTTTTTAAATAATGTAACCATAACAATGGCATTTGCTGTAACTTGTTTTAAGGGAACCATTAAACCTGTCAGGGCTTTCAGCAACATTGATAAATTATTAAATTTAATGTTTAGTGCCGATCACAGAAGCAAGGAGTAAAATGCTTGACAGAGATACTTTCTTGCCATGTTAATAAAATATACAGAATATTATTTTGTACATATAGGAATAGTAGCAGACATTGCTGATGCTGAAAGGACACTGCAGACTAGAAGTTGTAGCTTGTGGCCTTGTGTGTTGTACATCACAACTAAATGAATGGTAATTTGAATGTGTTTAAAAAATAAAGGAGGGGAGAGGTGTGTATACAGTGCATCTAAAAAAGCCATTGAGGACAAAAGTTAGCAAAATATAATTTTCCTAACTTATTTAAAAAGGAAAAAAAAAGTAACAAACATGAAGATTTTGCCAGAGAACGTGGTGATCTTTGGGCACCTGCCCTGTAGAAATCAGAAACTAACGTAGCAGGTTTGGACCGTTCTGTCATTGTGCTGCAAATACTTGTGGGGAAGGGATTAGTTACCATTAGTGATTTGGTAGCTAATTGACAGCTTTGCTTCTTTCCCCTCCTGTGCCTCTATTTTTCTTTGTTGCCTTTGTCAGCAAAACCTGTGCAGTCTTTTATCCTCAAGTGTCTCAGAGTAAATTTGCAGTTACTTTTGTGTTATGTCATGCTTCAGTCTCCCTTGTCACCAGAGATTTCAGTCAGTAAGGCTGGTGGCTGGGAAATTTCCCAGCTCATCTGAGAGAGAGAGTTGTGTAAAAAGACTTAAAAACAATTCTGTTGGTATCACATTTTTGAGCAGGCCTATTTTCAAAAAAGGTTGAGCAGACACAGAAGCCCGAGAGCAGTTTAAGAACCACTGACTTTTTTGAAAGAGTGGTGCTTCACTCATCCCTAATCCTATTCAATACAAGCTCTTGGAAAATAAGATTCTTCCATGGCTTAGAATTGAGGAAGCAGATTGTGGATTTTGGAACAGTTATTTTCCTCTCTTTTTTGGGTGGTGGGGAGTAGAGATTGCTTTCTGGTGTAACTTAGGAGTGAAAAAGATGCTTTAATTATGTCCAGTCAAGAAACTAAAAGTAATGAAATAATCATAAAACTAAAATATTCCATTTTTTTTGTCCTAAATAAGAAGAAATTGAGTTTTAAATATGAGTTAGGTCTTAATCTCACCATTTATTCCTTTATGCTTTCTGATTTTATTCTTTCAACTTTATTTTATCTTTTATCATTTGCTAGATCTGTTTGAATCCTTTTAAGTATCTGTACAGGTATTTCAACGCATTGTTACACTTTGTTAAATAGTTCACATCATTTTAACAACTGCAGTCAGAATGTTTGTCTCTTAAGAAGTCTTCTACTAAATATACTTTTTTTTTGTTCCTCTGTGCTATGAGAATTCAAACCCTTTTCCAGAAAACTGTCAAAGGAGTTATGGGGTTTTCTTGTGTGAAATTATGTTTTTCTCATTAACACCTGATCAGGTTCTGACAGACCATAAAAAATTGCTGGATACCGATCGATTTTGATGGTCACAATTCTGTTGCTTCTTAAATGCAATTCACATACATCACTTGGTTTGGTTCATCCTGAAGTGCTGGCCATAGCTACTGTAATGCTATTAACTTACCATTCATGGCAGATTGCAGAAGAGACTTTCTTTAATATGAGTTACTATGCAAAAATTAAATTTTCAGGATAAAATGTGATCCAGCTTCTATATGTTCTTTGTTTTTCCACTCTCTTCTTAGATTTTAATATTATTTGTGCTTTATATTGAGTATATTAGCATTCTTGTATTAGATACTGCAGTTCTTCTAGATTTTTTTTGCTTTGATTTCTTTCCCAATTAAAAATATTTTGACATAGTTCCTTAACAGTTGTTTTTAAGTATAAAATCCTTCTGGATTCTGATGCTGGAGAATATGGAGGGCATCAAAGGCTGGACCACAATACAGAGTTTTTCTCTGAAGCATATCCTCACAATTATCGACCTAATTCACTTATGGTAAGCAAGATTTATTTTTTTAATTCTATTTTCACCTGTGTAAATTTTGCTTTATTTTTTACACAGATATGCAGTTTAATCTAGTGTTTTTGGGGGGTTGTAGTTTTAATTTGTTCTCTGAAATAAGCCTTTGCGTGAATACTATAGAGATGACAGTGTTATGGTTTGGTTATAACTAATACTGCTAACTGATTTTTCTCTTTCAATGCTACCTTTAAATTTCCATGCACTCTTTTAGTGTCTGGCACACAGTGCTCCTTGCCAACATGCATGAAAACCTACTGCTATGCTTTTGAGTTGCCATTTTTGCTACTATCATTTGCTTTGTTTTCATGCCTAAGAAACTCCATCTTCATGCTTGCATTTGACTTAAAGCTCTGTAAAAACGGAATCTTGCTTTGCTTTCTTAAAGTCATGTTCTTAACTCCACAAATACAAGTTAGAGCAAATCACGCCTTTCTCCTCCTCAGCCCACAGAAAAACTTTGCAAAATCCAACAGGATTTCTTGGTTCACATCGAGAATTTTAAGACTTTCCGGTCCTAAAGTGACATGAATAATGGGTAAAGACTTTCCCACAAATCACTTGAGATGGAGTGGGAGGCACATCCTTGCATACAATTTCTGTTAGCTGAGACGGTCACTAATAAAACTCTACCTTTCTTACCTACTCTTGAAATCAATCACCACAATTAACAATTTTAAAATGTCATTTTTCCCATTCTTTATATATGTATACATATATGCACATATTTCCCACTCCTTACATGTTTTCACATATGTATATGTGGTTATATGTTCACATGCACAAGAAAATAAATTTGCAAAAAGGCTGTGAATTAAGGCAAGAGATCAGTAAAAAAATTCTCCAAATGCTTATATCACTGAGTAGATTTATATATCTAAAACATAAAAATGGGTGAAGAGGTCTGTGTCTCTATGCACAGGTATACTGATACCTATAAATAACTTACACTTGTAATCTTAGCCCACTAAAATGGAGTATCTGCACTGATTTGTGAGAGCCACCCCTCTTCCATGACAGAACGGAGACATGAATTTCTAGTGTCACCTCTTAACATTTCTCATAAGATCTAAACTCCTGAGAATTATTGTCACTTTTAGTCTCTCTCTCTCTTTCATTGCATTCAGAATATTGGCATTTCTTTCATTTCCTTGATTTAAAATAGTTTCATTACATGAAAGAATTCTTTTGCTTTCATCGTGCTTGGTGTAAAGGATCTTGGGAATATTTTGGGGTGTTTTTTGTTTTTTTTTTAAAGTATCTTCATGTGACAATGCCCTCAAAGTGCGGGTAAGTATTTGTGCTAATTTACACACAAAGAAACATAAGGTTATGTAGCAAATTAATGCTTCCAGAGTTCTTGATTCACGTGTCCAATTCAAATACCTTGCTTTGGTGTTTGGAGAGCATCTTAATTATCTACCACTAACTTAACTTTTGCAAGCCAATTAACTGTAATTTGGAATGTACATTTCACGTTTAGTCTATTAGATGGTGAGTGCAAGTCATCAAAGACAAAAAAAATGTGACAAAATGAGATGAAATCAGCTAGGGGCATGTGGAAGACAAGGCATGAGGCAAACAAAGCAGCAAATGCACTTTTGCAGCATAAGCTGTGGCATGGCAATGGCACCCGTAGGTTAGAAAGAAACCCAGCAGCGTGGGTCAGGTAAACTTTCTCTTGTGTCCTTCAGCAATTCAATTCACAGACCACCTTCAGCGACCCCCCCAGAGGATGCCACATGCACCAGTTAAAGGTAAAATACTCATGGCAGGACACAGAGTTCAAGTAAGCAAGTGAAAAAGTCTGGAAAACCTGACTAAATTCAGCACGATAGATCTTCAGCTAAGAAAGAACCAAGGTTACAGTAAATGCCTCCAGCAGCTGTTTTGCAGTAAAACAGAGATGTTTTATCTTAAACAGCAATTTACGTCCAAGTTCTTGGGTGATTTGTCCTGCTTGGGGGTTGCTTTAGTCTTAATAGCAGTTTCTAAAGTCCAAGTAGAAGTCTTCCCCTCCAGTTTCTTTTCAAAAAGCATATGATGCCATCTCAATAAACTCATAGAAGTTCTTTTCCTGCTCTTTAACAATATTTTATTCCCTTTACGTAGTGCATGAGACTTTAGTTTATTGCTTCAAAAATTTTAGTTCCTCCTCTACCGCAAACTTCAAAGAAGTGATTTTTTTAATGACAGATACACCTCCCTTAAGGTGTGTAAGTAAACATTGTCAGCAAAACGTGCCCAGAGGGTTGTGACAAAATGAAATCACATGCAATAATTCTGCTTCTCAAGTCAAGCTTAAATAGCACACAAATGTGTTACGAAAATAGAAGATTAAATGTGACAGGATTCGTTCTGGAAACGTCACTTAATAAAAGAAATATTCAAGGTGACATAGCAAAATCAGAAAAGAGAGATGTGAAATTCCTGGTGCAAAGAACCCTGGATGAAGAGGAAGCTTTGTAAGCACTGCAAGGCATTTCACTGTACAATTTTCAGACTTGTTTAGTAAAGCTCCAAAGGGCCAGATCTCAAAGTCATCAGACACACCTTGAAAACTGCATAGAAAAATGCACAAAAAAGTCCTTTGTTATATGACTTATGTAAATAATTGTTATAATATTTTTTTTCCATTTCACTGCTTGTTCTGTTCTTGATTGTTAACAAACATATGAAATGTGCATAACTTTCCACATAATCAAACTTTATAATAAGCTGTGAACCATTTTGTCACTGTAAGAATAGACTCTTTCAAGCACAGCTTTATTTCTGTTTACATCTCCACTGTGTTATTCTAATAATAAGCTTTTTGGGGTATGTTTTATAAAAGATGTGTGCTTTTTCATGGCTTCTGTATTTTATGTCTTATCATCTCTTTGCGAGATGTAAATTAAGTGCTGCACACACATCTCAACTTCAGTCAGATCCTAGTGCCCCTTTAGGGATGAAGTAACTTATTTGGTTACTCGGGTGTTGTAGTTGGATGTGAAACTTGGATTTGGGACAGGAGGAATAAAAATAATAATTATTATAATTATTGTCTTTCTGATATATAATTATATTTTATATTTTTAATTTAAAAATATATTTTTTATGTAACTCAAAACGTTTTGTTGGTCTCTTCTAAGGTATCCAACTTCACTGAATTTTTCTGTAAAAAAAGAACTAGATATCAATGTGTGTCTTAGTAAAATTTATTTTATAACACACTAAAAGTCGGGATTTATAATGAAAATGGTGTGGTTTATATGTTTATACTTCATGGACCAACAGACCTGAGTAATAAGCAGACTAAATGGAATATTGCAGAGTAAGTTGTGTCACTGGAAAAGTAGTATATGGCTTCTTGAGAAATATAATTGTTTAAAATATTTCAACTTTTAGGTTTACTTTTTCTGTAGTTCATTTCAGTTAGTTAAAAAACAAATAGATGTCAAAGTATTCTTTTTCTCTGGTCTCCAGTGCTGCCTTTTTTCTGATTATTTTTGGAATTCACTGATCTAATCTTATCACATCAAATGAAACTGAAATTATATGGTTTATTTTAAGAATATCTTTTTTACAGGTTTGGGTTTTTAACCTTGGCTTTAATGTATACTATTCAATGTCAAAGTGCAACTTCCTGCTTCCTTGAGTCTATTGACAAATTAAAGTACTCACATAGAGTGAAATGATCTAAAAGCTTTTAGTGACCTTAGCTTTGGAAACGCTCATTTGAATAACTTTCATGATAAGGATTTATGTATTGAATTTTAAGGGACTGATGTAATCTTTAACTGTTTTCTCCCCTGGCATGCACAGATATGCAGATTAAATGAAAGAATGGTTGTAGTTAGAAACTTAACTGCTCTAACTTGGAGAATCAGTAAGACTTTATTACCAGAAAGGTCTTGTGTTATTTTTACCTCTTGATGATTAAGACTTATAGATTCATTTGCTCATCTTCATCGATCGTTTGACTTCTTAAAACCACCAGCAAGTGTAATGATTCCAGAGTTGCTCTGTTGGTAATTTTGCCTCATCCTATCTTATTTTTCAGTCTACTTGTTTGTCATGAGGTTTTGTTGTCTTTTTTTACACTACCCTTTCATAAACTGAAAAAAAAAGTGCAGAAGATAGAGGAGAAATTTTGAGACATAGCCTGTGCAGTCTTTTGCATAAATGAAGCAAGACAGTCTAAGAAATTATTTTCTGCATATTCATGCTGTACAGCTGTAAATTGGGAAAAAAAAAAAAAACTGAGAGGCAGAACATCACCTTATTTTAAGCATACCTTCTTTGTCATGTGCAATATCTAGCAAAATGAAAACCAGAATGTCTGAGGTTTTGTATAGTAAATTATAGCCAAAAAGCACAAGCTATCATCCATTTTATTCATTGATGGTTAATTATATTCTCAGAATAGTGTCAGTGTCTGACAATTAGTAGTGATACAGAGACATGAGATTATCTAAAGCCCTCATTTTAATTAAAAGTTTGGGATAGTGTTGGCACAGACTCTTGTGACATTGCCTTCTGCATCTACCAGCTGCAATATGTGCTATCAAATATTTTTCTGCAGTGCCTGATCTAGCTCTGAGTTCTAGTAATTCTTCCATCTGTTACAAAATGACCTTGAAATTGTTTTTAGGGCTTGGTGTTTTCCAGTCCTGAAAATAGGATGAAGAGGAGTTCATTGCAATTCCAGCCCATTTCAGTTGTGCTTGCACCTGGTACTCAATTAGTCTGACGGATCTGAAAGTAGCAGTTGTCATTTGCAGAACCTCTTGCTAGTGGGGTTTTAGATACATTTTGAGATTGCTGTGTATTTTAGTCCTCCCCTAGAATATGTAAGATGGGATTTCTGCTTATAATTGTTGCTGTTCACAAGTGCTCCCTCTATTCTTGTTGGCTTTTCTAATCGCTTTTTTTTTTCTTGAAAGTATCTGGATATTCACGGTGGCAGGGAGGAGGGGGAAGTATGAGTAAGCATTTGGCTGAAAAGCATCTTATATTTCTGACCACTAGTAGTACCAGTTGTTATTTCTCTGTTTTTAAATTAACCATCATGAATAGACTGTGATCTTGATAGAACTCCATATGTATGTTGTTGGAAAAGTTGATTATAATAAACCCCTTTCTTTGTGGTTTTGCCTCTGTATGTGGCGATGCTGTTTTAGTGCCAGAAACCTTAATCTGTGTGGGATTTGCTTAGTTTCAGGCTGTGTAACTTCCTCATAGTTTAAATGGACATGCAGTATAAAAAAGGTCAAAGGTGATAACAAAAAACAGTTTTGTATTTGACTGATAAGCAAGATTCCTGTCCTCCAACGTCCTCTCTGTTAACACTTCTGCTGGTCAAGTCAACCACAGTTATTCTAAATATTCCACTGAGATAAAAAAAAAGAGTGTTTTGGTATTATTTGACAACTAAACATTTGAACATTAACTTCGTAAAAAACTTCATCTTTACAGCTGAGTCATCCTAACTGTCCCAAACAGACCTGATGTTTTCCAATCTCCATATCCCAGTCCCCCATCAGAAAAGACCTTTGTGAGCCTTCATGTGTGTGTTTTTAGATGTTTTCATGACTTCTTAAAACGGCAGAGTTTGTGTAACACTTTAGAGGACTTGAGGTAATAGTTAAGCAATTGGTACAGAAAGTAGAGGGATGATTGACTGAGATCTCAGAAGCCCTGAGTAACCTGGTTTGACTTCAGAGCTCAGGGAATCTGGGAAGAAGAAATAATACCTGTATATTTGTAACAGGAATTACCAAATACTTCTGTAGTATTTTTCCTTTTTAAAAAATTTTACACTAGTCTAATTAATAATCATTTTATTTGTAATTATTAATCAATAATTAATATTTATTCATTGTTCATGCCTTTATTGTTGTTTTTTGTAGTCAATACCTTTGGAGGTGGTTGCACTGATCAATGACATAAGTTAGATTAGAAGACTGTGCCATATGTAGCTATTTTGTGATTTATCAAGAAGCCCACCAAGATAAAAAAAGACACTAAAATGCTTGTTGAATTTGCCTAGGTAAGGAAGAAAGATGTGACTAAAGTAATAAGCTGGCAGATACATATCTTCATGGCAAATGGAAAACATATGTCATTAGTCTAAATACAATCATCTGCACAAGTTCTGAAATTGTGCTTAAACCAGTTTTAAAATTCGAATTGGCAGTGAAGTGGTTGGAGTGGGGTGTTTCCACACTGCTCTCAGATTCTCTCTCAGCTGGTGTAAATTGACTTTAAAGGAGCTGGGCTAATTTACTCCTCCTAAGATCTGACATGTTATTGACCCGAATATAATTGACAATTGCTGTGTCCTGTATTAGTGTTAATTTTTATTCCCTTAACTGTAATAACATTTTGCAAATTCTTTGTTAGAAAACTTATTTCTGTTTGTTCCTTCTCCCTTCTCACTTCATTATCCAAACCCATGGCGCTGAATTTCTCAATGCACAATTTCAAAATCTCTCCTTTATCTATGTGTTTTGAGGTAGTTGACTTCATTAAGTATTTCCTCTCCTGCACAGATTTATAGAAGCTATTTATCACTGAAACCTTCGGGGAAATCATTATGTTCACTGCCTTTCAAGAAGCATTGGACATAGCTCTGTCTGGTTCAATGAAGATCAGCTGTTCTTTTCCTTTTTCTCCTTTTCCTAAAGCTTTTTGCTTCATTGCTTTATTCTGTTTTGAAAACAATGAAAGCCTTTCATGCCATCAGGCTCTAGTTAGCAGATAACACAGCTGAAATTGCAGAATATTAGGCATTCCACAGGGGTGAAGGATGGCCTAAAAGAGGACGTTGTCAGAACGAAGCCAATAATCTTCAATCTCGTGTTACCTTTTATAATTGCATTTTTATTGACTTGTTCAGAGAAGACATTCATGGAGCTGACAACTGATGGAGTACTGTATATCAAGGTAATTGGTAGATAGTATGTATCGGTCTTGTTTTCAGGTTGTGACTCTACTCTGCTTGGAAGGAATGTCTTGTAAAATATATTGTCACAAGTTCTTCTGTGATCTATGAGGAGTTTTTTGATTATTTGTGGTTTGTTTTTTTTTTTTTTTTTTATGGTATCCAGGAAAAAGGACAAGAAAATGCAATGATTTAAATGTAAATTTTGATTTTGTTCGGTCTTGAAAGTGAGTTTCATTGCTCAGACGCTGACGTTCCATAGGTGCCAAGAGTGAGAAGAGTATGCCTCTGTGTCATATTGCTGGTATTTACCTGTATGAAATGACATCACAGACCTCGGGGCAACTTTAATTCACAGCAGAAGAGGGTTGTGAAACTTTGTCATTTATCACTGCACGGTCTATTGACCTGTATGTCCTCAGGTTTTTGAAACTGGTCATTTTAAGTCAATGAGGCCCTCTACTGGTAGCCACCTAAAATAGATCAAGGTAAAATATATGCATTGAAAAAAAAAATAGAAAAGAGTTTGCAATCAGGCAGTCTTTTAAATTTTTAGGTTATCTTGTGTAATTCAAATGCTGGAGACTTGGCAGTCATTCTTTAAATGTGATGACCCACAACACTGCAAAAAGATCACATATTTTTAATAATTTTTTTTTAAAACAAACTGTTATTTAGAAGTTGTCTCCTGTAAGGCTTATGCTTTTTTTTTCAGCCATTCTTGTTCTTGTCATGTTTTCACCAGGTGTACATTCCAAGCAGAGTGGCCCTTGTGCTTCAGAATACGGATATCCCAAAATGAAGTTCTCTGTAACTACCACTGAAGAAGCAAGTCAGAGAAGAAGTGCTGAAACGCTGTACTAGTTCTAAGTATAACAAAACTTGCTCTAAGGAGGCTTTCTGAAACTGAGTATAGTAATATTAGGTGTTTAAAATGTAAGATTAATATTCACATGTAATTGCAGAGCTCTTGACTTGCTAGACCCTCTTTTGAGGAAACTCTACAAAGAGGCAGAAAGGAAAATGTTGGGTTTGTAGTTCTAGTAGTACAAAATTACACTTAAGGTGTTGCAAAGCAGCAGGTATTCTCAATTAAACTGTTGTTTACAGAATTTTATCAGGAATAATAAGAGTGATCCTGCTCCAAAGTTTGTAATTTCTTGTAATCCTCATTTTGATAGTGAATTCAAATGTTCATGATATATGAATGCTTCTTACTAAAAGTAAGTAGTTTGCTTAAATAAAACAGAAGTTTTTGGCTAAAAGGCAGCCTTAATGGTTTGTGGGACCTAATTTGAGGCTCCTCTTCTTCAATGAAGTCCAGCATGGAATTAGAAATGTTTACCCAAATGGATGAGAAGGTCCTCTGAGAGTATTGTACTTTGCCATTTTTTATTTAATTAAAAAATGCACAAATATGACAAACAGCAAAATGAGCACGGCTATTGACTGGTGACCTGGCTGATGCTCTTGTTGTGTGTTGCTTATTTGCTCCCACCCAAATCACTGAGTTTGTGCACCTCACTTGCTACAGCTGGACAAAAATTACACGGCTATTTTATTTAGGTCACTAAAATGTTCAGTGAGAAGCGTGTTTTGTTCTTACTGCAATGTTACCACACTGGAAGATGTGCTTAAAGTGTAGTTCTTCCCACTGGATTTTATTTCACTAACATCAGGACCTTGCAACACTGATTTCACTACTTCCAGAAGCTGCCTTTCAGCTTGGAACATGATGATGTTCTTGCACTTTTGTAACTTTTGAAACATTGCTTCTCATGAAGAAGCAGTCTCAAAATACAGTGATCAAACTAAGGTTTTTTTCTTTGATTAAAATTAAGGTAGTTAATTATTGGAGTGCTGCTAAGGTAATTCAAGTGAGTTCCTTCGTGAGCTACAACTTTTTTTGTAAAGAGTAAGATTTTGTATATTTGAAAATGTATTGCAGAGTATTCTGGAAAATTAATACCAAATTAACGAGACATGCTGTATTTTGTTCCATTAATTTAAAAATTTGAATTGGTTCTGAAATGAATGTCTTTTGTACAAATCTGAATTTTCTAACTTTTAAAATAGCCAAAGAGGAAGATGTCCGTGACCATTTCCAAGTCATAATTTTACCCAGTTTCCTTTGTGAGCCATTGTGTAAATTATTGAATAGTTGTGCCAACACTGAAAATCTATTCCCAGTTCTTGGAATGCTTACTTGTGGCTTACTTCTGAAGCAAAATAAGGGATGGAATAATGCAGCATGATGGAAAACAGTCTCTTGCAGAGTTCACACTGAGAGGACTTTGTGAACATCCCCAGTCTGATATGTTCTGTGTGACAGAGAACCTTGTATTGCAGTTGGGTACTACAGGATCATGCTTCATTTCCCTCTACACCAGTTTGATCATTGTTTGGTTGTGGGCTAATAAAAGCATTCCTGTTACGCTATGACTTTAAATAAAATATACAGAACTGTTTTAGCAACTGGAACTGATTATCTTTGGTTTTTTTTCCCAGATTGTTTTCCTTGTAGTGAAATAACGAGCAACTTCTAATGCATGTTATATTTACATTGTATTGATCTAATATGTTTTATAGGGTGATTTTTTTTTTTTTTTTTTACTGGCACCAGTTCCAGGTTTCAAAATGTAATGCAAGGTGTCTGTGTCAAACCTTTTTCTCAAGAGAAGGAATAAATGTATGATGTGAAGTATAAACTGTAAAACTACATGCGAAATAAACTCTGAGGAGGAGAAAATAAATTCATATATGGTTTCATTGCTTGTATTGTAAAACAATTGTACAGTAGTCTTAACACTGGAAGACAGATTAGATTTTACTCTGTCTTGAAATCAGGAACTTATCTTGGTTATAGATACTCTGAAACTCATAGAATATTTGTCCCGTGCACATTTTCTTTGATTTGGTGATAGATGCAAACTACAAAATGTGCGAAGTGTAGGTCAATACAGGAAGCATAATAATTAGGGCTTTTTTGGAATTCACCTCTACATTTCAGTGGTGAGTGTACTCCCGCCTGTCTTGCAAGATGGAAAATTTTTTCCTTGTAATACCCATGGAAAGCCAATTTCTTGCTCCTGCTCTTCGAAATTTGGTGGATTACGAAGAGAAATCCAGCTTTCACCTTGTATCTGGTGACACTCAGGTTGCAACAAAGATCCCTCCTTGGCATCGCGCACCGGGGTTTGTAGCTGCCTGTCACCATGACTGGTTGAAGCCTCTGACTCATTCTGAGAAGCCCATGAGCTCCAGAGCTTTTTCTGCTTGGATCCACCTCAAATCAGTACTCTTTGGCTCTGTCACAGAAGGAAATTAAGTGGCCCATGGTGATATATCCCAGGGTACAAAACTCTCCACAGATATTTAGATATAGTGAAAGAATCCTCTTTAAAGTTAACCTCTTTTAGTTTTTAAAGGACTGGTGAGGATTTATATTTCAACATTTAGAAGTATATAGTTCCCTGTCACCTGTAAGAGTACTGGTAATGCTTGCTAGCTCTGTCCCCAGAAGCTGTTGCTCCACAGTCTCTCTCACAGTCAGTGAGAACTCAAGCTCGGCTCCACCTGTCAGTTTATCTAAAGATTCAGGCTGACCTTCCTTCCATCTTGCATTGTATCTGCTGAATGGTTCTTTGTACTTAATAATTCAAGTTATTCTCTGAACCGGGTGGTTATTGAGATAACAGGCAAGCATCCACTAGACTGGTGTATTCTGTGAGCAGTAAGTTTTGATTTCCCTGCTGTTTTCTCCTCCTCCCACAATTCAAGCCTTTGCTGTCCTGAGGTTTGTTTTGAAGATGAAGGATGAAGTGGTTATTTCAGCTTGGTGAGTACTCCTGGAAAACAGATTTTAGTGGGAAAAAAACTATTGAAGCTTTCTGGGTTTTGTTTCCCTAGGAAATTTTTGCTTGCTTTTTATATTAAATTTAGTGAAAAGTTTGTTACCTGTGTGGTCTGAAAGACAGGAATGTGGTGTAGCTAATACTTTGCCAAAAGGAGACTAGCTGTATGAACAGTAAGATACCTGACTGGGTAAGCACATGATGCAAGGTGATATTTTTCTGTGTTAATCTGTCAGTCACAGTTCTGCTTTCAAATGATGTTTTAAGCAGCTTGAAATAGTTTTATTTCCCCCCCCCTTTTTTTTCATGACTTCAGGTTCCTAATGGCTCACTAATGGTTAAAGGGAGAAATTCCTGTTTGTTTAAGTCTCCCTTCTCAGAGCTTAAAAGTAACTCAGTAGTGAAGGGAGAGGGTTTACTGAATGAACAGCAGGGATTATTTCCTTTAACTAAAATAAATGTGGATATTCTGTTCAGGATATGTTAAGGTGTATGATTTGTCTGTCTTCTGTTTCATAAATTAATCCCTTTCTGAGGAATTCAGGTATTCATCATATAAGAGTTTTGTCTTTGACTGGTGTTTCCAAACAGGAAATGTTGTCATCGTTGAAGTACTGCAACAGAGATGAAGCACTATTTTACATATTTTGATATATCATACCTCAGCTAGGATCTGAGTTTCATAAAAATCAGCCTATAAGTGGCATCTTTGTAACAATTAATTAGGAGGTTTTTTGCCAAGGAAGACTCTGCTCCTGTGTGTGTTCACACCTCATAGTATATGGTGCAAGTCTTTTGAAGGGGTTGAGGGTGTGGGGTTTTTGCTGTGATGCAGCTCTGTCACTTTTGGCAAACTTATTTTTTAATTCTGTTTAAGTTTCCAGGTTATGTAGAGTTGATTTTAAATTCTTGAGGAGAAAAGCAGCATCTTTCTGAAAACCTCATGAGCACTGGAGAGAAAAAAAAAAATGAGAGAGAGAGAAAATCCAAAAATTTTGGTCATGTTTGCCCTTATATAGAGAGAAGTATTTTCTTCTTCCTGCAATGTTTCCTTTATGTAGGTTTTTCCATTTTGGATTTATCTGAAAATAAGCTTTAGTAGTAGTGATGGTCTTACATATGACTGCCCTTATTAAAAACCATTACATAAATTATTGGGTAAAAATAATTCCAATTGAATGCATTAAAAATATCCCGCTTATAGAAAGGTAGAAACAAAAGCTAACAATGACTCATTTAGATTAGTCTATTGTATTTTTCATGCCTGTGAGTACAGTATGTACCCTGTAAATATAAATAGATCTTGGATAGCCATGGTAAAATAAAACCTAAAATAAGTAAGGAGAAAACGTAAGAACTTGTAAGTATTAAAGTAATAAGTCTCAGCTTAGCTGATGTTTTTGCATATTTACAAAGCTATTCTGAACACTGAAAAAAGCTCTGTTTAATTGAACTAGGCCTGAAAATTGTCTTGTAAAGGTAAGACAAACACAGTACTTTCTCAATATTAGGAGACTGATGCAGCCCCAATCACCCATGCCATTTGACTCCCAGATAATCTTCAGCATTGTTAAAACGCTAAGAGGGAGCTCTCTCTAAACTCATTTCTTCTGACTATGCCTCACAAATAATAATTTTAGTGTGTAGAACAAGGACAGTCTGTGACAGAATGATGTAAATTTAATGCTTTAGATATTCAATCTCTGCTAATGGTATGAGGTTTATGACAAAATACATACTGTCTGCAACATCTGCAAACACTGAGCTGCAAACACTAAGATGCAAATGCTGTAATGTTATAGTGTTTTTCCCTGTGGTAATTTTTTTTTTGTTCTGCTGCTTTCCAGTCAGTAGCAGTCTTAGTCTCATAAAAAAGAAACCAACTCTGGTCTGCTGTTTTCTGTTCTCTGCTGGAGAGAGGATGTTTAACCCCAGCCAGCAGCCATGCCCCACACAGATGCTCACTCCCCCACCAGCTCAGGGGAAAAGTGAGAAAACTTGTGGTTGAGATAAAGACAGTTTAACAGGGAAAGCAAAAGCCATTTATACAAGCAAAGCAAGGAATTCCTTCACTGCATCCCGTTGGCAGGCAGGTGCTCAGCCTCCTCCAGGAAAGCAGGGCCCCATCACGTGTAGCAGTGACTTGGGAAGACAAAACGAGATGACTCCAAATGTCCCAGCCAAACCCAGCACAGAGGGACTTGGGGGGCAAGCAGCTGTCCTGGGGTACTGGGTCTGGTGGTGTAGGTTTGTGCCTAAAACAGTGTTGATAAAATACCAGAATTTTGGCTATTGCTGAATGGTGCTTGCAGTGTGAAGGCTTCCTATCCTCTGCTCTGACCCCACTGTTCAGGAAGTAGCTGGACACCTTCCTGATGATGGGAAGTCATGAATGAATTTGTATTTCTGCTTTTCTTGCACGTGCATCTTTTGCTTTCCCCGTTAAAGTATTATCTTCATCCACAAGTCTTCTTACCTTCTTTCTTCTCCCTCCTAGAGGAGAGAGGAGTGGGAAAGCAGCTTGTGAGGGTGTTTTATGTTTACTGGGATCAACCCACCACCTCCATCAAAGATTGAGTGAGCCCTTTACCTCAGAAGGAACTTGGCTGGCAAGATGAGAGTTAGTGAAGTCACCTGAAAGTCATTTGAAGGAAAAAGATAGGGGATAAATCCCAAGCTTCCTTAGTTGCCTTTCACAAAATATTGAGTGTGTGTCTTGTGCTGTAGAGTAAGATAAAGAGAGTAGGTTAATTTTCCTGCTGTAAAGTATCACCTGTGTGAAGGAACAGACAAAGTCTATGTATTCAGTCTTATTTCATGCTAAAAATTCTCAGACCTGTTCATCTGCAGTAGAAGCACGTGATTATTCCTGTAGAAAAGTATAAAAATACTTCTCTACTTCAGAATATGAGTACTTTCTAATGTAAAATCCTTCATAAAAGTTCATTCACTATTAAAAGAGGAGAGGAGAAGCTTCTAGCAAAAGACTACCCTCTGGTACAGTAAAGATACAGAACATTAATGAAAACCTGAACTTTGGAATATATGGAATTTTAACTTTCGCTTTTGCACAAAGCTCCTTTCAGGTATTGACTGCTATTCTGTTTGTTGTTTTTTCCTTTGTTCATAACAGTGGTATTAGACCGAATGCAGCACTTTGGGGGTTTCTGTATTCTAAACCTGTGTAGCAAGGTTATGTACAAACTCAAGTTCATACTCATAAATGTTTGAGGCAATCACAATTCGCAGTCATAGACTGGGGTTAGCTATGTTTGGGGGGTTTCTAGAGCAAGAGGGGAGGCTGAAGATGCTTTTGTTAAATGCCATTTAAATTCCTGCCTTTGCAATTCCACTGATCGTTTTAAGTCTGACTATGACACGTTTTTGTCAGAAAACAACTAGCCCTATCCAGCATCAAAAAATCTCATCTGTAGACTAGCATGAGAAAGCCTGTTATGTAAACACATAGTGAAAATAAAATGTATTTTTCTATCCAGGTTTGTTTATCTGAAGGTGTTGATCACTTCCTGAAATGAAGCAGATGGGCTGTATGGCATAAAGAATAGCTTTTTATGCAAAAAAACTGCTTTCCCAAGGCAAAAAGTATTCCAATATTTAAAATATGATATTTTTTCATGAAAAATATTGTATTATTACAAGTGAACATTTTCCTAGAACGATACTTGTCCAAAACCCTCTCAGAACAGTTCTATAAAAATAAGAATACTAAGGAACATTAATGCTTATGTAGTAGGCAAAGCATGGACACTCACAGCTCTAACACTCTTAGTGTAAGTGGCTGCATGGAGGGGCTTTCATTAAATTCAGTGTGTGAGTGAATTCCTGTACCCTTCTCCTGAAAATGAGTAGCTTGGTTTTCAGTAAGTGTGTAAAGTGATGGGG